CTGGCCTCCCAGCAATCCTGCCCATGAGTTTCCTCATCGAGTCAAAGTCTACTTTTGCAAAGTCCAAGGTCCTTACTATGCTGCTCTCCATCCTTCCTTTCCTCAGGATCCTGAATTCAAACATCTTATGGTCGCTACTGCCCAAGTTGCCATCCACTACTACCTTCCCCACCAATTCACCCCTGTTTGTGAGCAGCAGGTCAAGAAGACCAGTTGACCTCTCCAACACCTGCACGAGGAAATTGTCCCCAACACTCTCCAAAAATGTCCTGGATTGCCTGTGCACTGCTGTCTTGGCTTCCCAGCAGATGTCAAGGGGATTAAAGTCACCCAGGAGGACCAGGGCCTGTGATCGGGAAACTTCTGCTAACTATTTGAGGACAGACTCACATACCTCCTCCTCCTAGTCTAGTGGTCTGTAGCACCCATGACATCACCCTTGTTGCTCTCTCCTCTGACCCTAACCCAAAAGTCTTTTAACAGGCCTGTCTCCAGTGTCATACTGGAGCTCTGAGCAACCATACAGCTTTTTTTACATGAAGTGCAACTCCTCCTCTTCTCCCCGCCTGTCCTTCCCGAAGAGTTTGTACCCATCCATGACAGTGCTCCAGTCGTGCGAGCTCCCACCAAGTCTGTTATTACGATCACATCATAGTTCTGCAACTATACAAGGACTTCCCATTCCTCCTGCTTGTTCCCCAGGCTCCATGTATGGTAGCAAACAGCCACCCAGGAGGTGAAATTATCTGGAGCTGCATACACATTGCCCATACACCAGTGCAAAGTTACTCCAACTTTGTTGAGGAGCAACAATACCCCAGAGAAGAGCAGCTTATGCTGTAAATTATATATCTGCTCCACATTTACACTGATGTAACAGTGGGTTACATGCAAATGCTTTGTGTATGCATACCCTCCCTTTGCAGTAGAAGTTTCTTGAATCTACTCAGGTTTGGGATGGTTAAAGTATTTGGGGGGGGAAATATTTCATCATAGAGAGTATAGCCTGGATGGCCAAAGGAGCACAAAAATGCATGTTATCACCAAGTCAAATGATCACCATGTGGCAGATAAAGACAGGCTCACATATAATGCAATGCATTGAGCTCACCTGTCTGCCATAGCCTCTGTCACCCATGTTCATGCTTCTGGAATAAAAATAAAAGTGCATTATGGTATAAAAGTTATAACAATGGAGTAATAAAATAGGAAAAAGCCAGAGAATCTAATTAAAACAAAAAAAAAAGGTGTTAAGACCCAGCTTGACAAAGCCCAGACTGGGATGATGTAGCTGGGGCTGGGCCTGCTTTGAGCAGGGCTTGGACTAGATGTGACCTCCTGAGGTCCCTTCCAACCTGAATTTCCTGTGATTCTATGTCTTCCTTCCAGAGGTCCAAGCTTCACGCGCTCCTGATGTGTGTTCATTGAAAAGCGGGGAGAGAGACACTAAGGTAAATAGAGAGCTGCAGGTTTCAGAGCGGTGAGGCCAAATCTGACTGAATTTACACTCCTCAAACTTCACTGAAGCGCAGACAGCACCGATGTAAATGAGGAAAGGATGCGACCCATCCAACCCTTTTTGATTGCTTGTTTGGGGCATCTGTTTGCATGCACAGCTTAGTGCATTTGAATGTTTAAGGCATGCATACTTCTCAACTGCTGCCATCCTCATCTTGTGACTTAGATGGATCACTAGGGAATTAACAACATGCATACACATACGTGCAAACTTGTTTGATTTGGTCTGCTCTATAGATGGTTGAAATCCACTTTGATTAAAAGTCACGGTAGATTAATTTTGTGTTAATCTAATGGCAAACATATTGAAGACATTTGAAAGGTGAACACAGAAAATAAAACAGGGCATGAAAAAATAACAACAATAAGCTGCCTCCTTTGATTTCTTTAACCTTCAAGTTAAATTAATTGAGATCCATTAGAAATATATGCAGGCAGTCCTCGGACTTACGACACAATCGGTTCCTGAAAATCACGTCTTGAGTTGAAACATTGCAACTCAGAACCAATTTTCCCATACGAAACAATGTTATAAATGGGGGATTGGTTCCTGATACCCTATTTTCACCAAAAATACCCCAGAATTTTGTACTCGATCAATTATAGATGAGTAATATAGCTACATGGATGTATTTATATTGTAAGTAGCAATCCTATTGATTTGGAACGACTTCTTTGAGGTGACTTTGCTGGACTTTTTGAAGGGCTCTTGGCTGGAGGCTTCTCAGGAGTCTTGGCTGCAGGTTTTTCTGGAGTCTCGTCGGCTTTCTTAAAGAAAGTGTCCAAGGAAGTTTGGACAGACGCTCTCCAGGGAGATGGGTGATGCAGTGAACTTGTTCACTGGTGCCGCGTCACATCAGATCAAGCATTGTCAAGTCAAAACTGATGTCAGAAAGTTGAAACCGGGTGTCAATGTATAAACATTGTAAGTGCAAAACGTTGTAACTCGAAACGTTGTAAGCCAAGGACTGCCTGCACATAGTTAGACCACCAACTCAATACCCTTGAAAGACAAAGTCAGTGTCATTTCCACTCCCTTATTGCAATGATGCAGCACATCACATCCATAAATGAGAGAGAGAGGAAAAACAAATGATCAGACCAGGTTCTTTGAGTAAATCTGATGTTTTTTATTAGACCAATGCAAATAGTTGGAAAAATTCTTCTTTGCAAGTTTTTGGGTACAAATACCCTCCATCAGGCCAAGTCTGTAGCCCAACATGGCCTCAATCTATACCCCGGGAAAAAATCTCAGCATTTTATGAAGATGGATGATAGGATTTTATTACTGACACTCTAATTAGTGGCACCGGGATTCTGCTTAGCACAGATTTGCCTTTTAAAGTGTGGGGACTATTTTTCCTCCTTTCCATTGGGAAAGGAAACGTTTTGGTCAGTGATTGAGTACTGCAGGAAATTGCGGGAGCGGAGAAAACGGGACTTCTCGCCCTTTTATCCCTCACAGAGGGAACTTAGATGCTCCCGAGTTAGCTGTTGGCTCCATCACACTTAGCAAGGTGCATATTGCCATATGCTGTGCAAAGAAGAAATATAGGGAAAAAAACAATTAGCCTCTGTTAATATTTGGTAAAGAGCCAAAGCCTTTTTGTGGAGAAACTGAGCAAACTATGCACGAAAAAAATAAATTGCTTTTCAAGAACATCCATCACTTGAAGGGGCCAATTTTCTTGTCCTCATGCAACCCTGCTCCTAAGGCTCCTGGGCTACATTCAAAGTGGAGTACAAGAAGCAAACGGTTTGTTTTTTGGCCGTTACCGTGATTCGTTCAGCCCGAATCACTCTCTTTTCTTTTCTCTGCTTATACATACATAGGGTGCTTAAAAGGGAGCTGATTTTGAAACCAAAGAGCAACCACGCTGACCCATATTGCTGCTTGGACACTAGTAAGCTACATATATTAATACCACAGCATCCAGCACGGCACTAATAGTTGGATTATTAGTGGCTGAACAAGCAGGCTTAGGCAGCCTTTATTAGGCTAATGAACGGATTTTTTTTTTTCAACCAATGTCCCTAATCACCGTGCCTGCCTGCAGTAAAACTGCATGAATAACTGTTAAACCAGATACAATTAAGGTCCTCGCTGGGATTAGAGCTACGGGCGGCTGTTCCCAGGCACCTAGATCCCTGTTTCCTAATTCTGGCTAATAGGAGACCTTCTGCCTGCTTTCTGCCTTAAGCCAGTAAAGGAGAAGGCAGGGGGAGAGAGAAAATGGGGGGTTGGTGGGAAGGAGAGAGAGAGAGAAGCAAAAAAACAAACCCTTTACAGAATATCAGATCCTCTCTCCTAACCTTTCCTTGATGAATAGAGCCGGATTGTGAATCATGCAAACCTAACATCTTTTAGAACAATGAGGCCCTTCAATGATAATAATAGTACTAATCATAATAATAGGCAGCTCCAGCCCCTTTCTATCATGTGCAAACAGTTGGGGCAGAATATGAAATTGCTTTAGAAATAGATACTGACATTTTTTTCTTCCTTTCGCTTGCCTACTAAGAATAGCCTAATTTATTCATGCTTTTATTTGGCAACAGAAACTAGGCTGACCTGCCTCCCTTTTTATTCACACAGATAAAAGAGCTTTGGCAAAAAGGCAGAGGACACTCTCTGCATTTAAAGGTGTCTAGCATTGCTCTCCAAAGGAATGACAGAATGGTTACTGCCTCTTTCATTGGTCCTCCGCTGCTCCCTGGGCTTCATCTCTTTTCTCTCTGGCTTTCTTTGGGGCTGTTCATGCTATAAAACTAGGTTAAATCTGGGGAGGAAAAGGGGGGAAAAGTAAAAAAAAAAAAAAATCAAGTATTTTCGGTATCTGGTGCAGAATACTGGGCACTCTGTAACTGTAGAGGCTCTGTGCATCCTTAGTTCTTGGAGCTCAAGCCAGCGAGGATGATTTAAAGATGATGGTGGGGAGTGGGGTTTGCAAAAGGAAGGCTGAAGGTAAACCCCTTCTCTTCTCTTTCCGTACTAGTGTCGTAACTCAAAAAAAAAAAAAGTGAGTCCTTAAATTAAAAAAAAAAAAAGACACTATCCATAAGGCATGGCCTCACCGCATGTATCCTGCTGGCCTCTGTCAATGTTTACTCGCAGCAGAGCCTTCTTAGGTAACATTGCAAAGCCAGCTATTAAACTGAACTCATTATGAACAACAGATACCAACAAAGTTCAATGCTACGTGCAAACAGAGGGATTTTTACTGCCGCACAAAAAAAAAGGTATATACAAACAAAGCAGAAAGCCAAAGTGCCTGCCTCCGCTTTCAGCTGGATGGGCAAAGAGCAGAGCTCGCTCGAATGGGGGTAAGAGGACTTTTGTCTGAGTGGGTAAAGTTCAGCCACATTCTGCTTTGATTAGTAAAGCCTCAGTTGAAATAATAATTAAAAAAAAAAGAAAGAAAGTGAAGGAAAAAGAGCCCAATTAACCTGCCCTGCTGGAGCGGGAATAGAGCACAGGGGAATATTTGCTCCTGCAGAAGAAGGTAGTGGCACTCCCTGCCTGGCTCCCAGGGGCGCTCACGCATGGAAGAGCCAGCTCTGCGGCCATGCTGAAAGCCAGCATTTCTTCACAACCGCTCCGCCTCCCCTTACATTTCTTTTTGTGCTGGTTTTCTTACTGCTTCAGGTGGGTTTTTTTCTCCGTCCCGTTGTTGTGGTGGTTGTTGCTACATTCAAGGTCCTCTCGTCTCCGTTTTCTTTGCACAGCAGGGCGCAGCATGTTGGCGTTAGAGTTGTGACGTGAAGCCAAACAGAGATGGGGTCAAACCAAAAGCTTAGATTTGAAGAGCCCCGGTGTTCAGGTGAGTGGGGAGAGAGGGGGCGGAAATCAAAGTTAATCTGAATCTCACCATCGTTCCTCTGAATCTGTAAGGTCTGGGACAGACTTTTTAAAAACCAGTTGGACCCAAATCAGTTCAGTCTGATACTACATTCAACCAGGTCTGTCTTAAACCAGTTTCAGCCATTTTGAAACTGATTTGCGTGCACTGAGCTTCTGTTCTGTTACAGGTTGAAACCGGTTTCGAGATCACTTAAAGTGGGTTATGTGTCACTTCTGTCCCTAGCCTAAGCGAGCCACACCAAAACAGAGATCTGCCCTCTCGTATACTATTTATTACATGACAGGTGTCTGTAGTGTTAGTCCATTCTCCAAATTAAACGATTGGCCTTGTTCCCCCTTCCCTCCCCACAACCCCACAAAAGAAACCCAAAAAACAGGAGGCCATATTCTAATCTTGTTTCTGCTAGCATCAATCTGAAATCAATGGTTTCATTTTGAATTACTCCAATGTATCTGAGAACAGAAATTTAGCTCATTGTCTTCTGAGACATTACTAAGAGGCTCAGATGAAAGCTCAAATTTTTTATGCTAAATTATAGCATAAAGGGCCGAATGATTTGCAGATTGAACCTCTTCAGAATTTGTTGGCAGTTAACGATCAAACGCCACGTGGCAAATGGTTTCTGCTCCATTTTAGCTCTCAGGAACCGAGTTCTTCCACAGCTGAACCCTTCAACAGGTTAGCAACACAAACTCTCTGCCAAGACCTGCCATTTCTTTTTTCTTTCTTCCCTCTCTCTCTCTCTCTTCTTTTTTTGGTCAAATAATTCTTTTCTTCTTTCCTTTGCCAAGGCTTTTTTTTTTCCCCTCCCCGCACCACTTTTTGATTGTCAAGACTTGATCATAGGCTTCAAAGCTAATTGCAGGAATTACTCGGCCTGTCTTCTTAACCTTCATCTGTTATTCTCTCTGGAGACCCAATAGACAACACTGACTTTTCAGAAACATGAGGTTTTTTAAATATCTTTTTTGAAAAGCTTTAATATTACCTATAATCATGCCAGCCACTACTGACTTTATATTTTTTCATTCATCCTCAGGTTTTGAATTTGCTTCTATAGATGGTCAAGAAGTCCTTAATCTTGAATGCTGAATCGAGGATCTAACATTTCCCCTGATATTTATTAAGAGCTCTTGAGATCTAGCAGTGGGGTTTTGTTTGGCCCAAGACAGAGATACGGGACTAGCATAAAGTCTGAATCTGGATATAACCACTCCCAAAGTCTGAGGTTCAGATCACAAGAGAGGTTTGGTTGCAGACAGTTATTAATTTTCTGACTTCTTCCCCATAGCCCCACCACACACACACACACACACACACACACTCTGTCTCTCATTGTATATTGCCTTTGATACAAATGTGTGCATGTACATATGGATGTACATGTGCTCATTTAGTGCTTGTGTAGACAGAAGTACTGTCCTCTAGTCCAGCACTGGATTTAGGTTTAATCTACTTAAAATACAGTTTAGGGCCTCACAGTATAAGGGGCCACTAAATAAGAAAAGAAAACTAGACATTTTCATTCTAGTATGACAAAAATATACACATACATGGCTTCACAGTTATTATTCATATTGAGTTCATAAATGTGTGCAGAAATAACAATAATTCATCTTAAAATTTCATGAAAATCCATTCTCATGGATTTCATGGATTATTTTTATCATATGGGGCCTCTTAAACTGGACATAGTTTAGGGCCTCAGCATGTCATAACCCAGCACTGCTCTAGTCACTCCTACCAAACACAGCATAAGTATTGGTAGAGCAAGCTCTGCCAAACTACACCCATTAATATGCCATCCTTGGGCTACAGGGGTCTCCTCCAATAAATAATACACTAGCCTAGGAGTGTGGCTCTACTGATGTGCAGCATGACCCTAACAAATCAAGTATCAGATCTGAAAGTGAGAAAGTACCACTATGACCGTCTCACCTGACTTCCTGTAATACAACCCATAGGTAAATTGTGTATATAGCATGCCTTTAAAAAAAAAATGCAATCTTGATTTTAAAATTTCAAGTGATAGAAAACCCATCTGTCCCCTAGATCGACTGCTGAACTACCAGAAAGATAGCACTCACCTAGTCTGAACCTGCTTTCTTGGGATCTTGTTATGCCTTCTAGATTAGAGATTAGGAGAAAAGGTGATCAAGTCTCTTCAGAACCTCCGTTTGGATAAACTAAATACATCTGGACTTCTTAGTTCTCCCACTCCAAAATGTGTTTTCCAGTCCTAGAAGCATTATTGTTATGGGCAGTCCCTTAATACAAGGATGATAGTCTTCCAGAAAGTAGGGAAGTCATTGGTGAGTTTGGAGATGACTGAAAAAGCTGATCCAAGATCCACACGTTCAGCTGCAGACATGGCAAATAGTCCTGGGGGGAAGAAGGGGATCCTGGTGATGCCAGATCACAGCTCTTTCCCACAATCTTTTCGCTTTGTCTCTCTCATCTATCTGCCTCCATAGTAAGGCAGGTTTCCTCTAAATGATTGATGCCTTGCACCACTGGGGACTATTCACCGATCAAGTCTCCCAGTTAATGGTGTTAATACTACATTTCTTCAGATTGGCCTTCAAGGGGTCCTTGAATCTCTTTTTTTGCCTACCTCTAGAGTGAGAACCATTAGTGAGCTGGGAATATAGGACCTGTTTCAGGAGCTGGTTGTCAGGCATCCTTAGGACGTGCCCTGTCCGATGGAGCTAGTGCCATATAAACATGCCTTCAATAGTAGTAGTGTTTGTGCCAGTATACCGGCATTCATTTTTCTGTCCTTCCAATCGCTATGGAGGATTTTCTGAAGTCATTGCTGATAGTATCATACCTTGGCTTTCAGGTGTTTCCAATATGTCCTCCAACTTCCACATCCATACAGCACGGCAGAAATGAAAACAGCCTGGTAAACAAGAAGTTTGGTTTGGGTCCTATGGTCACAATCATTGAAGATGTGATTTCAGAGATGTCCAAAGGCAGCACTGTCAGATTTTATCTGGTATGTTGCATATTATTGTTTGTGTTTAATTTTGGGAAAAAAATGGCTACCCAGGTAGGGGAATAGTCAAAGACTGTCCTCTAATTGTAACATGTGGAGGAGCAGCTGGTTGGCTTGGGGCAGGTTGGTAAAGGGTCATCTTTTCTATGAAGTTGATAACAAGTCCAAGCATTTCACAGAAGTAGTTAAGAATGACCTAGAGCCCTTCAACTGAGTGGGCACATGCAACACAATCATCAGCATGTTGAAGATCAGCCATAGAGGTGTGGTTAACTTGGATTTGGAACATAACCAGTTGACGTTAAAGAGGTTCCCATCCATGAGATACTGGATGCTGACTCCAGGTGGAAACCTGCCAGCAATGAGACGCTGAATAATTGTGATATAGATGGAGAAGAGTATTGGTGCAATCACGCATCCTTGCATGATTCCAGCTCTAATAGGGATCCATTTCCAAGTACCTGCTTAAGACGCTTGTGGTCATGTCATCACAAAGAAGTCTGATGATGGTAACAAACTTTAGTGAGCATCCAAATCTCCTGCGGCTGTCTAGCAATCAAGATCATATCTATCATACCTCTGAGTGGTCTGAAACCACATTGGGATTTTGGCAGAATCTCCTCAACAAGAAAGATGCATCTACTGAAGAGGATGTGGGCGAGGACCTTGCTCATTATGGACACAAGTGTAATATCACAATAATTACTGCAACCCACTCTACCTCCTTTCTTGAATGTGGTTGTGATTCTGGCGTCTCTCAAGTCCTATTTTCCAATATCCTTTCTGAATGGTGGACATCAGTAATCTATTAACGGCTTTGTTAATACTGTATGCAGAAGTAATACTCTCTGTATTTGTCTGTAGTGCCTCACAACTGTGCCCAACTCACCTCCCTTTCTTCATATTTCCTTATCTATTTAGATTGAACGCTGTAGCAGGACTCCACTTCCGAGGATGGCCATGGCACGCTCTGGTGGCCCAACTAATCCTGTCTCTCGCTCTGACTTCCCAGGGTGCCCCACCTGGGCTCACCTACTGCAACTTGTTGAAAATAAATATAAATTTAGGAGGCTGTCCCCAGAATAAGCCTTGAGGTGCTTCACTCCACTCTACTCATCATCAAGCCACCTCATTTTGGCCTGATCTCTGAACTCAGTCCCCTGAGCAGGGTGCTCTCCCTATACTCGACCGTAACCACCTTGCTGTCTTGGTCTCTTTCCAAGGTTCATTCTTCTCCTAGAGCCCCCAAATAGCTGCTTATATTTAGGGTTCACTCTCTCTCTAGCCCCCTTTTAGTAGGCCTTCTGTAGACGCTGTCTCTTGCCCCTATGATCAGGCCTCCTCTTCTCTCACAGCCCGCAGTCTCCAACCCCTGCCCACAGGCCTTCTGCAGCGCTCTCTGGCTCTAGCCCTCGCCCACTGTCTGGCAGTCTCTCTAGACACTAAGTCCACTAAACAAGTGCACAGTGCCCTTCCCAGGTACCCACCACGGCCTCTCTTCTTCCCTGCCCCATGGCCAAAACACAGGCTGCAAAACCGAAACATAAACCACTATCACCCGACCCCTTTCTCCTTTGCAACACAGCACAGGTGTTATTAGTCTTCTAATGAGCAGACTGGCATTGTGCTGCCTGCAGTGTGCAGGTTGGGCTCTGCTGCCCTTTGACTCTACCTGTTGTACCTGCTGTACTTTGTATCCTCCTAACACAGCTTACCTGATTAACAGGGGTTAGGAGCCCCTGGTACGAAGCTCTGCGAGCAGAAATTCTCTTTTACTATGTGTCTGAACTATGTCTAACACCCTAAAGCCCTGCTCTTAACTGGAGTTTCTTAGCCGCCGCTCCATCTCCTCATTCATCCTGCAGGTATAAAAGGCAGGTGTCGAATGACACCTGCCACCCCACATCTTGGGCTCATTTGTCCAGTTCTTTTATTTCGGATATAATGATGCCATTTCAACCTCTAGGTCACTCTTGCTCACCCTCTTACCACTCTCTGTTACTACTCATTGAAAAGGTCCCTATAAATAACCTATTATTGGACTTCTTTATGTCCAAGATGTGTCTTATGTCAGATATGTCCATTTCTTTCTTCCATATTGTACCCAGTTGTCCCTATTCCAGGACTTCTTCATTATTCAGTGTCTTGATCCAGTTTATTTTTTAATATTTTTAGCTAATATGATACTGAGAACAAAGAAGTGGTAGATCTGTCACCATTGCACAAATTATCACAAACCCATCTGTTGACACCTCTAAAAGTTTTTAATACCAGTGTGGTCTTTTGTAATGTGAACGCTGTGACAGGTCGCGTGGCCACAGGGGCGGCCGTGACACCTCGTAGTGACCCTGCTGGGCTCTGACTCTAATGTCGCGCTCTCTAGATTCCTTAATATTAAAGGTTAAGGGTGGTTGCCATCAAGCCTTACTCCTAATAATTTCCCAGTGGGTCTCAATCCAGCCCTCAAGCCTGATAGGTCCCTCTCAGCATCACTAGGCCCCTGTAGAGCACCTGTAGCCTTAAGGGCAACTTGTGTGGCTCCTTTTCCTCCCCTACACCACTCCCCAAACCTTGCGGACGTTATCATGTTGTTGTTCACTTGTTGGGCTTTGGCCTCTTCGGTGGCACACCTTCCTTCTCAGATAGGCTTTCTAAACTGGGCCCGCTGCGTCAGACCTGGCTTTGAGGCACTAGCTCTAGTTTGTCCTTTCTGGTCCCCGGGCCCCTGGCCCGTGTGGCTGCACCCCTCTCGGGCTCCGGGCCCATCTCACTGTGTCCCTATGCCCCTGTGGCCGTAATATGGCAATGTGCCCACTCTGGGCTCAATAATCAATTGTGACTGTGCCTCTCTTGGGTGCTGGGCTCCTGGCCCCTGTGGCTCTGCAGCCTTGCGCACTGCCCCTCTCAGGGACCAACACTAGCTGAAGCTTTGATCCTGTCCCTGGAAGGGCTCAAGACGGTCCTAATGGGACCTCCATAAACCACCCCTTATAGTCCCAACCCATACCACCAGTTTAAACAGTAACATAAACCATAAGCCCCCGGGCTAAAACAGAAACACAAGCAACCGCAGAAGCAGCCTTCTGCCCCTTTAAGAGGGCAAACTTTCCTCATCTCCAAGCGGACATACCTTCCAGCCCGGGGTTATACCCTAGCCTATAGGGTCTCCATGGGCTCCTGGACCCTCTGGTCCTGCACACGACCCCTCCTCCGGGCTCCCAGACCCTCTGGTCCTGCGCACGACCCCTCCTCCGGGCTCCCAGACCCCCTGGTCCTGTACACGACCCTTCCCCTGGGCTCCCAGACCCTCTGATCCTGCACATGACCCCTCCTCTGGGCTCCCAGACCCTCTGGTCCTGCACACAACCCCTCCTTTTGGCTCCCGGACCCTCTGGTCCTGCACATGACCCCTCCTTTTGACTCCCGGACCCTCTGGTCCTGCACATGACCCCTCCTCTAGTCTCCCGGACCCTCTGGTCCTGCACACAACCTCTCCTCCGGGCTCTTGGACCCTGTAGCTCAGCTCACCCCTTCCCTGGGCACGTGGGATCACAGAAAAGACATAAGGCAGGCACCTTAAACCCTCTAGGGGTCAATATAAAGCAAAGGCCACTTGCCTGTAAACCAGGTCTTGCTCTGCCCAGGGACCTTGCCTCTGTTCCTAGGCCTACAGAGTGGTTTAGCTAAATCTAGGTCCCTCCAGGAGCCCTGCAGCCAGGAGCTCCTCACTTCAAGGCTGCCAGGGAAAGACTCTCTAACCAGTGCAAGCTCTGGGCTTATATAGATCCCACCTGAGCCCTCTTCAGGTCAGGTGAGTCCCTCATTAGCTCCCCCCTTCGCCACCTGCAAGCGGCCTCTCAGGCTGCTTGCTCTCTACAAAGAGAAGGCACATCCCAGCGCCGTGCTACAAACACCATGAGTGGGAATGAAGTAGAGTCCATCAATGCTAAGTAAAAGAATTACGGGGTCCATCTATGTATCACTACTTTAATTCTGACTGCATTACCTGGTAGTCCTCCAGAAAGATGCAACTGAGGTTCCAGCCAGTTTGTATTTGCAGTCTGATAGCAACGTTTTAACATTACTTATGTGGTGGAACCAGCGAGATGCCCAAGACATGACAGAGGCAATATAATACATAATATTTTGAAAGACAAGTCTGACACCATTTGCAGCAATAGGGAACTGAGGCTTCCCCTGAAATAGAGGAAGGTCCTAGCCCCCACATAACAATCTCGATAATCTTATTACATCTTTTAAAATAGGCAGGGTTAAAATAGCAAGCATCCCACTCAAAATGCATGAAAATCTAGGTAAGACGTTCATCTTAATTGCATTCATTTTCCCCAGAGGCTCACAGAAACCACTTGCCATCAACTGGTATCTCTTGTTAGCTGCAGACAGGCAGGCTCTAAATCCATTGAACAAGTTTTTCAAGATTCCTTAGTATTTTTATCCCCAGGCATTTAATTGCCTCTGTCTTCCTACAAAAGTTCCACCGGGAGAAAGCCTTGATACAAAGCAACCAGGAGATGTCAGGTATTTATTACTAACTCTTCCCAGCTAATTCTAGAGTCTGAAAATGAGCCAAAATCTTGGATTAACACTAGAAGGGTGAGGATTGTGGTTTCAAAATTTGTTTTAAACAAAAGGACATTGTCAGTATATAGCATTTAATGGTGCTGCAAGGACCCAATCTTGATAACCTGAATACTTGGTTGAAAGCCGGTTCACAATAGGCTATAGGACCAGTTCAAACAGGAGAACGAACAATGTCCATCTGGTCCCTCTGAGGAAGTTCAATGAGTCTGAAATGACATTACTGATTAAAGCTAGGATATGGAGTCCTCGTACAAGTTGAATCCATGTCCTAAAAACAGGTGCAAACCCAAATCTCTGAAGGATAAGCAGCATTTATCCCCAGTTTCTTGAACGTGACTGCTGGGCATGCAGAAGTGCTTGGTCCTGGTGTCCCCACAATGCACTGCCATTACATCTGCTATCGGTCATGAGTTATCAGAGTCATGGCAGCTTTTAATAAACCCCACCGTACATACAGTTTAGATGCATATTGGTCATAACTTTTTCCAGACAGCTGTCAAACTTTGGGGCAGTATTTTCACATTAATATTAACTATCAATAATGTTCCTAACTGAGGGACATCCTCCCATAGGCACTCGTAGCAGAGCAAGTAGCTTGCCTCCAAAGAGTTCAGAAAATGTTAATAAAGAATCAGTGGAAAAACCAGCTGGGCAAAGATCCCCACTCGGTTGAATGAGCCCTACTCAAGTCATTGGCAACCTCTGATGCTCTCATTGGGGTGTTCAAACCCTCCCACTGGGCCACAGAGAATTGGGGCATTTGCATTTAGCAAAAATGCACTCAGGGCCCTGTGTGAAGGGGCAGAATAAGTACTGTACAAAGGCTTGTAAAAAATTTAAGAATAGTTTATTTATAGTTGTGGGTGCAGTACATCATTTATTATGCTTATCTCAGACTGTGGGAACAGCTGCTCTGGCCACTCTTGGCTGAAGATGGTAACACCTAAATGGTCTGCATTCCTTCTCCCCCGCTTCAATTGAAAAAGTGCAAACTCTGTTTGTGGCACATGTAGTTCATGTGGTTCCTATCTGGTTCTGGCCAGTCTGTGGAGGAGCAGTTGCCAGCAGCTGCCTGCCTTTTTTTTTTTTCATAGACACAAAGCTAGTAATTCTGCCTCCAAAAAATGTCTTTACAGTTTTCCAAAGTGACTTGTTAGAGGGGGTTGAGAGCTCACTGGTCTTCAGGAAGAGGTTACGTTCCTTCTTTATAAACTTCTGGAAATGGGGGTCCAAAAAAGCAATGAAGTAGTAAATCTGTCAATTTGGGTGCTGACAGAAGTGACATTTGTCACGCAATTGGCCCCCTGAAAGCACTCGACAGACATGCCCTGACAGAAGTGAATAGCTGCAGAGTGCTTTAAAAGTGCCTGATCGCACAACAAATTAACCCTCATCTAATGAGCACCTTCATGAACTTCTGTTAGTCCCTGCGCCTGATCAGAGCTGAGCCGATGCAAACCTGCCCCCGGT